GGAACCATTCTGTTTCTCTGTGTTCTGTTCTGACAGCAGCCTCTTGTCTTGAGTACAGATTCCTCATTTAAGACTATCAGATGTGTTGGCACTCCTGTCTTCAAGGGCATTCCATAGCCTTTCATGATCTATGCACTCAAAGACTTTGCTGTAGTCTATAAAGCACATGCTGATTTTCTTTTGGAACTTCCTGCTATGCTCCATTAGCTATTGTGTATTTGCAATGTGATCCTTGGTGTCTCTTTCTTTCCTGAACCCCGCTTGGACCTCTGGGATGTCTCCCCCATGTATGGTTGGAGTCTATGTTGCAGTATTTTGAGCATAATGTTGCTTGCATGGGAAATTAGTACTATGGTTCTATAGTTGCTGCAGTCTCTTGTCTCCTATGTTGTGAATGGGGATGTATGTTGATCGCTTCCAATCTGTTGGCCATTGTTTTGTTTTCCATATCTGTTGACATATGTTGGTTAGCAATATACCAATAGATTGTCTGTTCCTGGAGTCTTGTTTTTGCCATTTCTTTTATTATTATTTATTATAATTAATTAATTAACTAAAATTTACATTTTTAATTAAATTAAATTATTTTATTATATTTTATTATTATGGTATATTTATAAAATTTTGTCATTGTCATCATTGGTCCCTAAGTGCATGATATTAGAAAATCAGATCATTGTGTCCTTTATTTTTGTTACAACTTGTGCCAGAAGTGACTAAAGTGTAAGATGGAGAAGTACAAGGGGGTATCATAAAGTAGTAATTATCACCTGGAAGTTATTATGGTATATTGATGAAATTCTATCAGTGTCATCATCACCAAGTGACTTTTTCTCTTCCCCAAAATGAAAAAATCTGTTGTGGGGTTGCCAATTTGACAACACAGTTGACGTCATTTATGAAGTGGAAGAGTGGTTTAAGGCGCAAGCTGCAGACTCCTACAATAATGGTATTTGGAGGGTCAAGAAATGCTGGGGGAAATGTGTAAATCTGGATGGTGACTATGTAGAGATAAGTTACCAACTACATATTAAAACAAACTTTCTGTCAAAACATTTTAAAGGTAATAATTAAAACTTTACAATACCCACTTGTAATGTGTGTTTGTGATTTACAAGGACCAAAGACAGGATTATAACAAATTGAAATGAGGCCTTTCAGCAAATCCATTTAACATTCTATTTGTTTGTAACATATTTATTTTAAAATTTACTTAATTGCTCTTCACTTAAACAATTTGGGGACGGATGAGCATGCTAGATTGTCAAAATATCATAATGAGATTTGGTATACTCATTAATCTACATTGTTTTGCATTTCGAGTGTGAATGACTTGATACCCCACTCCCATTGCTCTTAAAGCTGGGAAAAACGTATTTCATGTCTTATATGCCTTGATGATCTGAGATATCAGAGAGAAATTGGCATGCATGTTCAAATTAAAAGCAAAGAGATTCCACTTAAACATTAGGAGAAACATGGAGGGTGATGGACTCTCTTTCTCTGATAGTCTTTAAACAAAGCTTGGATGGGCATCTTTCATGAGTGCTTTAGGTATGTATTCCTGCATGGCAGGGGATTGGATTAGATGACCACTACAGCCCCTTCCAACTTTATGATTCTATGTATAAAATGTGAACACGAGGTCTACCCCATGACACATTATATATATTTCCAAATATAACATGGCACAACAAACTACCTTTCCCTGAGTGCATAAGATATCAGAATGGCATTAGGTATATTTGTAATGCAATACTTTACTCAAAAGTTCACCTTTTCAACCATTACAGCAACATCCAATAAGGGGAAGAAAGAGAAAAATCTGAAGCCTCCAAATGCGATGCTTTACTGATTATTTCAGATGAAGCAAAGACTCCTGTTTTTGCAATGTCAGAATCGTCAGTAAATATTAAGCTCACTTACCACACTTTCAAGGAATTCATCCAATTCATACTGAGGTCTGAACATTCAGGGATTTCAAAACCTACCTCTCAACAATCTCTGCATTTCTACAAACAGGGAATGTAGCGTTAGGACTATGACACATGAAACAAACTTATTACAGGGATTACTTTTACAGATCATTATGGGCTTATCCAGTTTCTGGTCTCAATGGGAGCACGGCCACTGAATCAATGGAATGTACATGAGAAGTGACTTAATATTTTGCAATTGGTTTAATGGGCCTACTTTAGATTTAGCCCTATGTGTCTTGGTCACTCTATACTCTTTTCCACTCAAAGGATGCGGATATTACTTTTTATATGCAGAGCTTGGAAAAGCTACCTTTTTGTACTATCATTCCCAGAAATACCCAGCCAGCATGGCCACTGCCCATCCTGAGTGAGTACCTTCTTGGAGCTCTAGTAAAATTAAGATTCCAACCTCTGATTACATTACTATTATTTAAAGTTCACTCAATTTTTCCTCATTACTTTAGTCCCACTGTCATTGCTTGTGCCCTCAATTGTAACCTTTTCAATTTGTCATCATCCACCTGCCATGGTTAATGCAATCCAAAGCAGCATTACCTGTTTTATGCATAGGATCATCTTATCCCCACAGCTTTGAACAAGTTTCTCAGCATATTATATCACAAACCATTTTTCTACAAAGAGTCACAAATAACAAAACTCTGGGGGAGGGGAGTAGTTTCAACTCACAATATGCATGTTTCCCAAAGTATTCTATTTATTTATTTATTTATTTAAAAGAACAACATCCTACATATGCAATCCCAAATACACCTTCCTAGCAGTGAGTCCCACTGAAACTTTATGGGACTCACCTATGTGTAAAACCATACAGGATTGCACTGCACTGTGGAACAACTACCTAGAAAACATACGTTCTGTGCATACTTTGGGAGGGAGCAGAACAATATTTTTTTTTTGGTGTTCAGAATAAAAGATCAACAACAACAACATCATTGCTTTCTTATATGTGAAGTAGAAAACTATCAATTACTTTTTTCAGAAAAAGAAAACACAGCAGGCAGAACAGTACATCTTAATTAAAACTATAGGCATACTTCAGTTAACAAAGCCTCTGACAAAGAAGCTTCTTTTTACAAAGTGTTTTAATACCCTCGGGCCCTGCTTTTTCTCCTTGTCCTCTGCCTAGTTGGAATTTTTTAAAGGCGCATCAGCATTGAGAGGATGGAAAATAAAAGGCTGGAGAAACACAGACTTTGTGTGTCAGTTTGTATGAGTGTGTCTGCAGTAAACTGCAATGCATGAACTGAGAAGAATAAGATCCAGCTGTTGCCAACCTTAATGTTGCTCTATGCATCTGCCTAAAACAGGTAAAATAAACAGCTGTTGCCTCCAGAATCTCTTACTGAGCATGTGTGAACAGCAAAACAAAAAGAAAATGAAAGCAGGTAAGTTACCTCACCAGCTACCTCCATCACATTAAAGAAGCATAGATGTTGACAAGCTGGAGCATGTCCAGAAGTGAGAGGTGTCTGACAGTGAAATATACTGCCTTGGAGTGTGGTGGAGTCTCCTTTGGAGGTTTTTAAACAGTGGCTGGATGGCCATCTTTTGGGAAGGCTTTGTGTAATTCCCACATGGCAGTGGATTGGACTGGATGGCTCTTGTGGTCTCTTCCAACTCTACGATTCTGTATTTATAAATGGAGCCACCAAAGTGGAATCATAAAAGTGGAGACTACTGAAATGTTTTAAATCATGCTTGGGTGCATTTGGAAGCTTTCAATTGGTCTCTACAATGTTCAAACTGTTTTTGTTTGCTTTTGCAAGGATTGCTGAACCTGGTTGTTTCATTTCACCTGTCCATACTGTTCTGTTGAATGAAAACTGTGCTGAAACATAGTAAATTAGCCTTCTTTTTTGTGGTATAGGAAATATGAAACCATCCCTTGAGGGTTCCAGCATGGTGCAGTGGTTTTGAGTGTTAGACTATGACTCTGGAGACCAGGGTTCAATCCCCCAGTCGGACATGAAATCCACTGTGTGATCTTAGGTAAGTCACACGCTCTCAGCCTCAGACAAAGGCAATGACAAACTTCCTCTGAACAAATCTTGCCAAGAAAATCCCATGGCCTTAGGGTCACCATAAGTCAGAAACAACTTAAACGCACACAAAAACAAATTATCTCTTTTCTTTGCATATTATTTCCACCGCTGGTACCAATTTTTATGTTATAGTAATGCTCAGGAACATACGTACTTCATTAACTGTAGATTGAGAACATTCTGATGTTAACTGGAACAGGATTTAAAGGGGCAGAGCAGAGAAATGTCCAAACCCTGTATCAAGCAGCAGGCAGCAAGTCTTTTGTCTTGTTCTTCAAGTAGTTCTTTCAAGGGCATTTCTCAGCCTCCCACTTGCTCCTGAGCCAAGACTCCAGTTGGCTCCTGTGCCTCCAGTTCTTCCATTGTTCCTTCTTCAGTGCCAGAATTCCACCCTTTCAGCTCCTTTTCTCATCTCAGAACTCTTCTGCCTGGTTCAGAAGGAAGCAGAGCCTCCATTGCTCAGAAGAGAGCTGAGACACATGCTCTGATCATTCCTTGCAAATAAAATTGCCTAAGGGGGAGAGCAGGAATAAGCCTGTTATTCCACTGCACCCTCACCCCAAATCTCCACAGCCCTTCACATGATAGAGGGGTAACTTCTGTGGCGAGGGACCACTCAAGTAATCTCCCTACAGTATTTTGATCCTTGCATCAATAACAGAAATGGGCAGACCTGTCAAGTCTGATTCTATGGATTCCCTCTATTAATTAATTAATTAATTAATTATTTTAAGGGGGGGGACCCCGCACACATACTTTTGTGTACATTTTCAAATGGATGGATTAATGAACACATGTCCCCATGGACTACTATATGCAACTATGCTTTAGAAAAATGTATGCAATATTTTTTCTGCACATTTTTGAAAGGTGCATCTTCTTTTTCTCACCATCATGGAGCAGGGCTGACAGAATTCTCACCAGAGGGAATGAACTCAATTAAAAAACATGCCCCATTGCAAACATTAAAGATTCTGATGTATGAAGGCTGAGTGACAAGAATTCAAGGGAGTGGGCAAGCCCAACAGGCTAACTATACAGTTTTAGACTATGAAACCTACCAACATTCTTCCACTTAAAAAACTGTCCCAAGCTCAGGGTGAAAATAACAGTATATAGCATTTATGTAGCACTTTTAAAATATTCCAAGCACTTGCAACACAATAGATAGAACCTTGTAAGGTAGTTGAGTATTATTATCCCCATATTGCAGGTGAGGGTAAAGCTGAAGATGAAAAAGGCTTGCTTAAGGCTCCACCATGGGTATGGCAAAATGAAACATAATTTACAGAACTGGCTGGGACATTTTTGGAATTTTAGTGTGAAAAAAACCACAAACTTTTCTAAACTCTGGATCCAAACAAGCCAATGCCTTTCTAATTCACACCTGTCTTTTAACTATTGGAAGCCACTCTACAATTTTCTATAATATCCACTAAAAAAGGGGGGATATGGGAGGATTAAGTTACAATGCCATTTTAAGGCTCTACTGATGTTACATAAACCTGCAATGCATGTTAAAGACCAGGCAAGGTGAGGCTCCAAATGTTCTCAAGCAGTGCCAAACAGGACTTTTCAGATTTCCCTCCTTGGCTGCTTCTGAGGGTACAGTGTGATATTACAATATATCAGAGGTGTTGGTGCCATGAAACATTAACAGATTAAGATGTCTTATAATGAGTTAGACCACTAGTTCGTTTATTCAAGTACTGTCTACTCTGATTGGTTGAAGTGATTCAAGGCAAAAAAAAAAAAAAATCTCAGCCCCTGGTGATATCTTTTAATCTGGAAACACCAGAGATAAAACCCAGGACATTCTGCAGGTAAAAAAAAATGTAAACTCTGTAACTTTAGGCCTAGGACATGAACCCCCTCTCTCCCCACAAATTTGGGAGACATTTTCAATCAAGTTACTAAGCATTAGCATGATACAGGTTTATAATGCAAGATGCCAAGCTGACTGATTGGTTTTTGATGCGGCAACCAAAAAAGCCAATGCAATTCTAGGCCGCATCAATAGAGTATAATGTCTAACTCAAGGGAAGTAATGGTACCACTCTAGTCTGCATTGGTCAGACTTCACCTGGAATAGCGCATTCATTTCTGGATACCAGTTCAAGAAGGATATTGACAAGCTTGAATGTGTCCAGAAGAGGGCGACCAAAATGGTGAAAAGTTTGGAAATCATGCCCTATGAGTGGTAGCTTAGGGAGCTGCGTATATTTAGCCTGGTGACAAGAGGTGCCATGACAGCCATGGTTAAATATTTGAAAGTATATACTGAAGATGAAGCAAGCTTGTTTTCTACTGCTCCAGAGAATAGGGCCCGGAGAAATAGATTCAAACTACAGTAAAAGAGATTCCACCTCAACATTAGGCAGGACTTTCTAACACTAAGAACTGTTCGACAGTGCAACACACTCCCTCGGAGAGTGATGGAGTCTCCTTCTTTGGAGGTTTTTAAACAGAGGCTGGATGGCCATCTGTCAGGGGTGCTTTGATTATATCTTCCTGCATGGCAAGGAGTTGGACTGGATGGCCCTTGAGGTCTCTTCCAACTCTATGATGCCAAGGTCATCCAGGAGGCACAGCAGGCCTGGTCTTGTTTGGGTTTTTTGGCCTATAGGAAACCCTGCCATTAACCGTGTAAAGGAGTATTCAAAGAGAGATTCGTGTTAATCTGTTTTAGCATAAAAAGACATATAAAAATCCAGTTCCACTTTTGTAAAGGAGATTATCTCACATGCAGCTTCCCATCAGCTGTAGAGTGACAAAACGAAAACACAGCACCACTGGATGTCCACTGGATGATGCAGGATGTTTTATGTAGAGTAGAGAAAAGGGAGCATCTTAGCATCATCACAGAGCTTGCGATAAATATTGTTCAGTCCAGGCCTCACAGTCTTTCCCCCCTTCCTTTCATCACACTTAACAAAGCTTCGGAGGATCTGGTAACAAATCAGAAGGTCAGAACACTGGGAGGCTCAGAATCCACATCCAAAAAAAGAACTCAGAAACATGTCTGAAAGTGGATGGCATAAAGATTAAAAGCAGTAATCAAGCAGCAAAAATAAAAAGAGTACTGATACTCTATGGAAAATTTTAGGATCCAGTTACAAAATAGATAGAGGCAAAAGAAGCCTGGACAACAGATCCTAACTAACTGCATAAAAAATTAAAGGCAAATAGGCCTTTATTTCCTATGATATTTTTACATTATAAGTATGAGGTGATGGGACAAAAGATCTTTTGGAAGATGGGGAAAGACTAACTATTTGAAACACTCAGGTTTACTTCTTATATAGTAGTTGTTATTATGGAGCTGAACCTCCAGAGAACCATTGTTTAAAAATTACCCAGTGTGGGTTTTCTGATGCCTAGTCAGATGTGAGTTCCGATTAAACCTCTTCCCACATTTGAGGCACAGATAAGGTCTCTCTCCTGTGTGAATTCGCTGATGTTTCTTAAGACATGAGCTTTGGCTGAAACATTTCCCACACTCTGAACATTTGTAGGGCTTCTCTCCTGTGTGGATCCTCTGATGCTGGATCAAATCTGAGATCCCACGGTAGTTCTTCCCACACTCAGAACACAGATAAGGTTTTTCTCCTGTGTGGATTCTCTTGTGTACAACAAGGTGGGAACTCTGAGTGAAACATTCCCCACACTCTCGGCAAATATAAGGTTTTTCTGCTGTGTGTATTCTCAAGTGTCTGATGAGATGGGAGCTGACCAGAAAGCCTTTCAGACAGACAGGACATCCAAAAGGCTTTTCTCCTGTGTGAATTCTCTGATGAGCAACAAGATTAGAACTCACACTGAAGCTTTTTCCACACTCAGGGCACTTATACGGCTTCTCTCCTGTGTGTATCCTCTGATGTGCAATAAGAGTTGAGCTTTGGGAAAAGCTCTTCCCACACTCAGGACATGTGTAAGGTTTCTCTCCTGCATGGATCCTGTGGTGCTTCACAAGGGCTGAGCTGTCACTGAAGCGTTTCAAGCATACCCGGCAAACGTAAGGCTTCTCCCCAGTGTGGGTTCTTCGGTGTCTGATAAGGGGCGAACACCGTTTGAAGATTTTCCCACAATCAGGACATCTATAGATTCTTCCTGGCTTCTGGGTTTTGGTTTTGTTGGGTTCCACTGCAGTTCCCTGTCGTGGCCGAGCTTTACAACGTCTCTTCTTTGGAATATATACTTGGCTTTCAGGACTAGGCTCAAGGTCAAAAGGTTCTTCATCTCCACGAATCTGGAAAACATTTATTTCATATTCTTCCAGAAAGGACTCACCTTCTTCAATCTGTTCATGATTTTCCAGTGGAAAACTCTCTTCCTCATGATTTTCCAGTGGAAAACTCTCTTCCTCATGATTTTCCAGTGGAAAACTCTCTTCCTCTTTCACTATGTACTCCTCTTCTTCCTCTTTCATCATGTTCTCCTCTTCTTCCTCTTTCACCAAGTACTCCTCTTCTTCCTCTTTTACCAGGTTCTCCTCTTCTTCCTCTTTAATTATCTCCTCTTCTTTAATCAGATTCATCTCCTCTTCATCTATGATGATCACTTCCTCTACCATCAGGTTATCTTCTTCCTCTTCCTCTTGAACAATCTCCTCTTTGATCATGTTATCTTCCATTCTCATCATCTCTAGCCTGCTGGAGCAAAGCAATACTCATATCATGTAAGTGTAAAAAAGAAGTTGGGAAATTGGAGGCAAAATTGACAGCAAGACATATTGGGGTTTTTTGGGAAGCTATAAAATTAATCATGAGGAGCAAGATTCCCCATATGAAAAGGGAATATATTTAGGGGTACTTGCATTTTACATAATTTATTGTACAGGCTGAGTATCCTTTATCCAAATTTTTTAGGGCCAAAAGTGTTTTGGGTTTCTGATTTTTTCAGATTCCGGGGTATCTGCATATA